GTTAGTTGAGATTTCTATGAAAACACTTCAGCATATGATTCTCAAACACTTCCATATGATCAAACTTTTAAGAAAGCACTTCAAAGCCGACCGCTTCTCATTAAATTGCACCAGCTATCAGATGCCTATCTGATAATCCTATAACTAATCTCCAAGTGGTCCCAAGTGTACATTTATAATAATATCAGCTGCTCCAAACGATTTGACTCATCCCCATTGAATCCTTGCAATCTCTACCATCACTCATCCACATATGCTCTCTGCTGTGCTCGTCTCGCCTCGTTCCTCCGGAAGGTCAGCCCCCGTCGAAGGGGTTAAAAGCCGCAGGAGGGCAGACCCCATGCACTCATTCGTTCTTCTCTTCTCAATCCTAGAGTTCTCCAATTAACCTATCCTTGTCCACTGCTATCATTTAATTTTTCCAGTAATGATCCGTCAAATCGCCGCCATTGCTGCCTTCTTGTGCCTTGCCCACGCTGCTCCTTTCACCAGCATTGAGGATATCCCTGCTGAATACAGAGGTAAAACCCGGCTAAATTCTTGACTCAATAGTTTGCGGGCAGCTCAGCAACGTATTTTTAGAACTTATCCCTAAGGAAGCCAAGGAATTCCTCACTGGACTTTCTGAGGCCGACAAAGGTGTACTTAAGGATATTGCCAAGGACTACGCTAAGTTCAAAAACGAAGATGAGGTGAATAATCTTCACCAGACCTTACCTAACATAACCTCAAAACAAAACAACCCTCTATTAAGGCTTTGGCCGCACTGAAAGAGAAATCACCCGAACTTGGCGCTAAGGCAGAGAAGTTACACACTATGGTGAAAGAAAAGGTTGACGCTCTTGGAGATGAAGCTAAGGCTTTCGCTAAGGAGGTAAAGCTCATAAAGCAAGATTGATAAACTCTTTAAGAAAAATTTTGTTCTACAGATCATCGCTGGAGCTCGCAAGATCCAAGCTCAGGTTGTCGCTGGCAACAAACCCAATCTCGCCGAACTGAAGGAGAAGGCCCAAAGTGCCATCAACAAGTACAAGGCTTTGTCCGACGCTGCTAAGGAGGACCTCCAGAAACAATTCCCCATCCTTACCTCTGTCTTCAAGAGTAAGATATTACGGTTTAACCAAAATATTAAAATCCCTAACTCTCTGAATTTCAGACGAGAAGTTCCAAAAGATGGCCGAAACTCTGCTTGCCAAGCAGCAGAACTGAGCTCTTCCACTCACAGTTCCAGAGGAAAACGTGTAGTATGATTGACTTAATAATGATTTCTGTTTTGCTTTAAAGTAAAGTCCTACTCTCATTTCCATCACTTGTCTCGTGTCTTTTCTAATAAACATTTTCTTAAAAGAATATGAGCAAAGCAAAAAACAAATTTAAACAGATATCTGAAGCTTTATGTATCACTCATGTCATATGACGCACCCGGAGTTTATCGAAATGTCAGGATTGATGTTACTGATCTGTGCAGTGATAGAGCACTCATTAATACAAGATACAATCGTCTAAATGCGAGAAATGTCAAGATGTATCTAACAAAGAGTAAATTGAGAAGTGATTAAATGACAGTCTCTATAAAATTGAGGTAAACTTTGAAGGGATTATGAAAATTACGGAAATCAAACCAGCTTTCTTATTCAGCTGGGATGCTGCAAAATAGGACCATAAATAAGTACAAAACTAAAGCAAGCAAAAACAAAGTTTGGACTTACCATCTCAAAGTTCGCTCAGTTTAAAGTTCAGTTTCCATACATAAAGGAGTTCTCGCATTTGCAGAAAGCATACGCTGTTATGGTTCTTTAGTCAAACATGATAAGATAAAAATTAATTTTCATAGGACAACAGTTGTGCACTTTAGAAACAATTACATATAGAATACATTAAAAATATACGCATAGGGAATAAATTACAATTGTATTTAGGAGCTGTCAAGTATGGTGCGATTCTTGGTGCAAAAGGTTTCATATATATATATATATATATATATATATATATATATATATATATATATATATATATATATATATAT